TTAAGTTCAGATTTACCAAAGTCACACAGTAACAGAAAAATCAAACTAATTGAGGCAGTGGTAGCCCAGCAACCCCAGTGAGCACCAACTGGGATTCCGACATTAATTTCTGGTTGAAAACTGGTTGATACTCGGCCTTTTCGCCCTCCTTTCAAACAGCCCAAATGCGATTACAACATCAACTTGTCAAAATACCAATGTGTTAAATTATTTTTTGATAATTTCTTAAGTTGTAGGTCAAAAGAGAGACATTAAATGGGTGGATGGAGGTGGGAGGAGTGGGTATGGAAGGGTAGCCCTGCAACTTTGGGGATGATGGTAGGTTTGTTCTTGTCATTTTTCTTTTTTGATCTCAGGGTTTCATGCACAATTGTAAAGTTCAGAAAAATGAGCTTAAATTGTAGATGTTGATTTTATGTGGAATCCATCTGCTCAATAAAAGATATTCAAAAAAGAGAGAGACATTACTGATTAGTGTGTGAGGTATTTCTCCAAAGTCATATTGCACTGGGGGGTGAAATGTGGTCAACACCAAGACGTAATTTGAATGCATTCAATGTGAATATAAATGTCATAAATATGGAACTATATAGTCTGTGTGCTGCCACATAGAAGCTTTCAGGACACTTCTAGAGTCAGATCTGTACACTCTGCATCATTCATGTAAAATAACACCATTTGGGCTTACTGCTGTAACGCGCATGCGCAACCGTTATAGCGTCGTTTAGTTCAAAAGTACAGACGTCCTGCGGCGCCTCCGGGACTCTCGGACTGAGGAGAAGGAGCCAACGGAATAAACGCGAGTCTTTACGCTACCTACACACTTTGTAAGTACATGTGCTACTGTATTTCAACTAAGCAAACCAGAAATCACCACTATTAGTTTCATATTATGCCTCTCACGATGCGGCCCAGGCGGCCGTTGTGCCAAGCTAGCTTGTTGTTAGCGTGCTAGCTTGTTGTAGCATGCTAGCTGCAACTTGTTTTTAGCATGCTAGCTTGTAGCCGCTTGCCGCGGCAGGAAGACACTATAAAGGTATTATTGGTGAAAAAGGTTTGAGCACCTGTAACAGTAGAATTTGTAGTTGTGTACAGTGATTTGTATGTGTGTCAGTATGAGTTGTGTACTTGTAGATTTTTTTTTCTCTCCACAAATACAACACAACACTTAGACATTCACAAATTCTTAATTACAGGTGCACAAATCCTATTTTACAAGTCACAGATTAAAAAACTGACAGGCTCACATTTTTGCTCCTATTGTTGCAGTATATTTGGTGCAAAACATATTTGTGCACCTGCATCAAACAATGTGAACTTGTTGACAAAATTTGAATATGTGCAAACCTGAATGTGAACTTGTGCAAAAAATGTTCAATGTATGTAAAATAATTTCGCAGGAAATTATTTGTGTTCCTTTAAAGCACAAATACAAATCAATAATTGCAACTGCTCGAATCTTCCCCACGAGTCACAGATTCTGTTTCCTTCCCCACAAGTCACAGATTGTTTCCTTCCCCACGAGTCACGGATTCTGTTTCCTTCCCCACGAGTCACATATTCTGTTTCCTTCCCCACAAGTCACAGATTGTTTCCTTCCCCACGAGTCACAGATTCTGTTTCCTTCCCCACGAGTCACAGATTCTGTGTCCTTCAACTACAAATCACAAATCGCACCTCCACTGAGATATTTGGTGAAAAACTACCTGTGCATTCAGTCTATGGAGAAAAAGGCGAGTGCTGATCTGAGATTGACTGATTCCGCAACCAATCAGAGGAGAGGGGCTTTTGTCTGCATGGCCACACCTGCCTTTTTCTCCATAGACTGAATGCACAGATAGTTGTTCACCAAATATCTCAGTGGAGGCGCGATTTGTGATTTGTAGTTGAAGGAAACAGAATCTGTGGCTTGTGGAGAAGATTCGAGCAGTTGTAGTTATTGATTTGTATTTGTGTTTTAAAGGAATACAAATAATTTACTGAGGTTGTTTTTTTCCGACATGCTATACTATTACTTTTTTCGACATACTGTGCTTTAACTTTTTTCAAAATTTTACACATACTTTGATTTTTTTCTACATACTATACAATACCATGACTTTTTTGATATACTATAGTGACTTTATTGATATATTATACTGACTTTTTTCGATATATTATACTATGATTTTTTTTTTTGACATACTATTCCATGCCTTTTTTTAAACAATTTTTTCCGCATACTATACTATGACTTTTTTAACATACAATTCTATAATTTTTTCGAAGTACTATACTATGATTTTTTCCTACATACTAACTTTTTATGACGTTATTCTATTGTATTTTTTTTTAACAAATGTACTATAACTTTTTTCTACAAATTTTTCCACATATTAGATTTTTATTATTATATTTTTTTCGACATACTGTGCTTTTACTTTTTTCAAATTTTTACACATACTTTGGTTTTTTTTCTACACACTATCCATGACTTTTTTCAACATACTATACTATGACTTTTTGATATATTATACTATGACTTTTTGATTTATTATACTATGACTTTTCGATATATTATACTATGACTTTTTTTTGGACATATTATTCCATGCCTTTTTTTAAACAAATTTTTCGACAGACTATACTATCACTTTTTTCAACATACTATACTATGACAGTTTTTTTCAACATTATGACTATCCTATAATATGACATTTTTATGGCATGCTACATAATGACATATTTGTCACAGGCCACCTTCAGCATTGCTTTTTGTATCATTTTAAAATTTTAGTTTCTGAAGGACGATATATTGTTTCTTTTTACAGCAATACAAAGAAAACATAATGGAGCTGCAAAAGGCAGCAGCAGCTATGGAGCAGGTTGTCTCAACACTGTGATGTGTCCACCAGCAGCTACAGTAAGAACATGAATATATGCGTTTACAGTGAACTTTCTTTTTGTCGGTGAGTTCCACTGTTGTTTCGTATTTTACATTACTCACATTGACACTTTGTATTTGTCTTTTTATGTTTTTGTCTTAATATTTAAGAGAAGCCTGAATGTAGAAATACAAAACTGCACCAATATTTGGCATTTATCATTCATAAAGCACTTAATGTTAAATTGTTAACAGCTTAACACGGAATCATATCTGTATTTTTTTTAAGAGTTTTATTTTTTATATTTATTTTATTACCTTGAATTGTGAAAATCCCCGTCTTTTTCAATTAGGTTATTTGCTAAATACTTTTTTGATACTCAAAAACACTCGCTGACAGAAAACACAAGTCTTTATTCACATTTGCAAAGATCACAAACTGGCAATTTATAATACACAGTATCAATCAGTATCATCAATCAGAAAACTGTAAACTGATTTGTCATGGCTCCATACTTTTTTTTTTTCAGCTGGCAACCAGCAACTTTATCTGCTAGTCAACACCAACTGAAGTGTTTATTACAATACAAATAGACAAATTAAAGAAGCTCTTTTTTTTTATCTTACGGAGTTGTAGCTGCACAAAATAACACTTTCCAAATTCAGGAATCCATAACTGTATGGCATCATGTTCACATCACCAACAGTTTAAAGGGACCACCGATTTTTTTGAAGTGAGATTGTACCAGGTAGTTAGTCATAGTAAGGGAGTAGATGGTGGTTGCCTTCAGTTTGGAGAAGCAGGAAGGACTTCCATGACGGAAGCTATGCAATGTGCTGCTGTGCCAACCGCAATCTACTGTAGGTAATACACTGACTATGAATAGATAAGTACCTCATAAAACCCCACTTTAAAAAAATCAGAAACCATCCCTTTAAGTATGAATCTCACTCTGTTCTAAATCTAAATGTAACCTGAGCTCCCCTCTTTGGGTTGTTTCCAAACCTTCACAGAAGATCAAACTTCAGCTACTGGGACCAATGACCTCTGGAGTCTGACCTAAACAAACTCAATACAGGCTTAAATCTACATTATTGATAACGTCAATGTCCAGTCTTCAAATACTTGTTCTATCCTGATATCTAAAAGTGCAAAGGCCTCTAAAGAAGTAACTTGGTCAATTAAAAAGAGTAATAGAAAAAGTTAAGTGATATCAGGCGACTGGCAAGAATATTTCAAGTTGACAGAAACAATTTAATCAAGCGACAGCATGCCTCTCAATGCATTTCAAGTCCTGCTTCACACAATATGTGTAAATGAATAGGCAGTCAGGCACTGTGGCAAACAACTACTGTTAACTGGACTGTATAATGTCAGCTCAGCCTTGTGGTTTCAGTATGTACAGCTCATGTAGTAGACTCAATGGTTCTAGTCTGGGATAAGATGAATAACATTTGACAGTGATGGTGTTAAACTAATGATGTAAAGTTTGTATAACCACTTGGTGAAAGTTTGTGAGGCTGTCTGGGAAATTACAAAGTCCTTTAAGAAGTCACTCCCGGAGTCGCCACAAAATTGCCTGCATCTGTGTCCATAATGATGTCTGGTTGAGATCAGTTTTTAAAGGCACCACAGCGGCTGGCTCGACATATGAAATCTTTGAGCATGTTGCCATCAATCTGCCAGAAGGCGGCGGTCTGGGTCACTTCAGTCAGATGATTCACGCAGAACTTAAAGCAAAACTCTTCCAGGTCCTAAATGAGAAAGATAAGAGCACAAATTAGCAATAAAAAAGAAAGGAGAAAAACAAAACAAAAAGTATAGCATGTCGAAAAAAAGTCATAATATAGTTAATAGACCAATTTGTGAAGAAAAAAATAAGTGTGAAAAATGTGTTGGAAAAAAGTCATAGTAAAGTATGCTGAAAAAATTGTTTACAAAAGAAGTCATTGTATAATATGTCAAAAATTTTGTTGACAAAAGAAGTTGTATAGTATGTCGAAGAATTTGTTTACAAAACAAGTCATTGTTGAGAAGTCAAGTATGTGGAAATAATTGTGGAAAAAAAGTCATACTATGACTTTTTTCATCATTTTGGACGACACTATACTATGACTTTTTTTCATTATTTTGGACGACATACTATATTATGACTTTTTTTCATCATTTTGGACGACATACTATACTATGACTTTTTTTCATCATTTTGGATGACATACTATACTATGAGTTTTTTTTTCATCATTTTGGACAACATACTATACTATGACTTTTTTCACAAATTTGAACGTCATACTATACTATGACTTTTTTTCATGGTTTTGGAGGACATACTATACTATGATTTTGTACAACATACTATACTATGACTTTCTTTCACCATTTTGAACGTCATACTATACTATGATTTTGGACGACATACTATACTATGAATTTTTTTCCCCATCATTTTGGACCACATACTATACTATGACTTTTTTTCATCTCTCTCCTCCTCTTAGTGTGGGTGCATATGGTGGAGTGTCATTGGATGTGGCAAGGCAGGTGGTGTGTGCTGACTGGGCTGTCAAAGAAGATTGCTGCCACCGGATTGGCCCTCTGCAAGACAAAAGCTTTTTAAACCACTAGCTGAAAGAAGCCCTTCCCTCTTCTGCACTTTTCCACCTCCAACAGAGCCAGAACCTTGACTTTGTGAGATTGTTTGTTTGAGTGCCTGTGGACAAAACTTCTAATGTGTTAAATAGTGTGGGCTCTTGATTACTTTGTTACTTGGGAAAGAAATGTGACCAATTTTGAGTGGCTGAGTTTACTTTTGTTTAACAGGTTACTTTTTAGAATTAGTAATGTGTTTTTGTGTATTCTATTGTGAACACTGTAAATACACAGGATTCCTACGCAATTATGGAATTTGATTTTATAAATTCCCAGGTCTGGAAAAGTATGGAAAATGGAAACAATTGTGTGGAAAAATATTTATGTTTTCAAGACTGCTACCACAGTTCTATTTTCTAAAACATAAAATTAAGAATATCTGAAAAAGAAATGGATGGATCTTGTTTTTCAAGGCTAATGCCTCGTACACACTACACGACTTTTCTGCCCATTCTGAAAGTCACTATGTCACATTACCCAATTGTGGAGTCAAATGTTTCACAATAAAGGCTTATTTAGAAAATGGAGGGATTCTCTCAGCTGAGGTTATGAGGTGCTTTTAATTTGAAAAAGGTACAGGATGTGTTGAGTTTGAAATGAGGGCACGATGCATTAACTTTATGAAGCCAACGGGAGTGGATAAAAAGTAAAAATATAAAGATACAGAGGGTTTAATAAATAACGAACCATCTATGATGTAGTCTGTTTCAAATCAAGCTATTAGCCTCTGCAGTTGTGGTGAGTCAAAGCCCCGCCACTATTTTTTAATTTTCTTACTTTATGTCCGTCTCCATTATGAACAAATAACATTGTTTGCTAGCTAGGATTTTCTTTACCGAGAATTATCTTAATTTTTTAACGAAAAGTCTGGAAATTAGTGTCTGGAAAAAGTATAGAATTTTGAAATTTAGGCGACATTTCCCATTTGAAATGTGAAGGACTCTGAATACAGCACTTTGAGATGTTTTTTATTAAGAGTGAGAAGCCCTTTTTGTTTGGCATTGCCATGTTCTTTTCTCTTGTTTAAAATGGTAGAAGTTTAAGTTAAAAATTTGTCTTTTGTTTCACACTTGTTTTTTGTTGGGGACGTTCAGGAACCATGAGTTTTTTTTCTTTGTTGTTTTAGGCACAGCTAACCTCTGGAGCCACTGCTTGTTTTGTTGAGAAACTGAAATGTTGCAATTGGCCTTTCTTGGGAGTGGGAAGGGTGGAGCATCTTATTTCAAGGTTCCCCTAGACCAGAGACATAACAGTAGTATGTCAAAAAAATAAGTAAAAGTCATAGTATAGTATGTTATCCAAAATCATGGAGAAAAAAAGTCATAGTATGTCGTCCAAAATGATGAAAAAAGTCATAGTATGTTGTCCAAAATGATGGAAAAAAAGTCATAGTATAGTATGTCGTCCAAAATCATAAAAAAGTCATAGTATAGTATGTCGTCCAAAATGATGAAAAAGTGTCACAGTATCATATGACCTCCAAAACCATGAAAAAAAGTCATAGTATAGTATGTCATCCAAAATCATAAAAAAGTCATAGTATAGTATGTCGTCCAAAATGATGAAAAAGTGTCACAGTATCATATGACCTCCAAAACCATGAAAAAAGTCATAGTATAGTATGTCATCCAAAATCATAAAAAAGTCATAGTATGTCGTCCAAAATGATGAAAAAAAGTCATAGTATGTCGTCCAAAATGATGAAAAAAGTCATAGTATGTCGTCCAAAATGATGAAAAAAGTCATAGTATAGTATGTCGTCCAAAATGATGAAAAAAAGTCATAGTATGTCGTCCAAAATGATGAAAAAAAGTCATGGTATAGTATGACGTCCAAAATGATGAAAAAAGTCATAGTATAGTATGTCGTCCAAAATGATGAAAAAAAGTCATAGTATGTCGTCCAAAATGATGAAAAAAAGTCATGGTATAGTATGACGTCCAAAATGATGAAAAAAGTCATAGTATAGTATGTCGTCCAAAATGATGAAAAAAAGTCATAGTATGTCGTCCAAAATGATGAAAAAAAGTCATAGTATAGTATGTCGTCCAAAATCATAAAAAAAGTCATAGTATAGTATGTCATCCAAAATCATAAAAAAAGTCATATTATAGTATGTCGTCCAAAATGATGAAAAAAAAAAAAGTCATAGTATAGTATGTCCTCCAAAACCATGAAAACAAACCATAGTATAGTATGACGTCCAAAATCATGAAAAAAAGTCATAGTATAGAATGTCATCCAAAATCATAAAAAAGTCATAGTATAGTATGTCGTCCAAAACCATGAAAAAAAGTCATAAAAAAGTCTTGGTACACTGTGTCGAAAAATGTATTCAAAAAAAGTCAGTATATTTAAAGTGACCCTCAGTGTGATATGTTGAAACTCATTTTAGTAAAAATATGTTAAAAAAAAAAAAAAACAGAAAGGAAGTCATGGCACAGTATATAAAAAAAACGTACAGCATTGTAATAACGATATAGTATGATATAACAGTCCATCTTCAGGGTCACCTACAGAAACCTCGTTACAACTTTACTTCCTCTAGTCAAGTTTGATAAACTAGGTTATATGACTGGATACATGGGACTTGGATCATATTGCACCAGTTGTATGAGAATCATTCACCATGGAGGGATGCAGGAAAATCAAAGTTTTCTTTAGGAATTTAACGTAACACAGGGTGAGTAATTGATGATGAGTAATTGATATATAAATGGTCATTTTGTGGGTGAAGTATTCCTTTAATAGAAAGTAACTTTGGTAGATAGCCACTTGATTTAGCTAACTCAGACTGTTATAGTACCATCATAGAAACTTTGGAATAATTTTTTGTCGCCAAAGTCTTTGTCTGTTTCAGACCACTGTAAATATTGCTGTACCTTTAATTGATCTCCTCTTATTGAAACTCACACAGATAGTTGTCAGAGTGATGGTGAACACTGACCTCAGCATCATAACGCACAGCAGCAGAGAGCAGGGAGAAAGCATTCTCAACAGTGATTCCCCTCTTTATGATATGTTGACACAGACGTTTGAGGCGGTTCTCACAGTATGACGTGGCCAGGTCCAGCAGTCCTGACAGAGCAGAGACACACACAGACAGTAACACTGTAAATATTAACCAACTACCACACACACAAGTCAAAGATCAGGCTGTGACGTGTGTGTGCGTTTTACCAATAGCATCCTCCGGTGGCAGCTCCACATTGTCCGTGTACAGGAACTCCAGGAAGGAGCGGTACACCGGGTAAGAGAACTGGTCTATTTCAATCACCTCCTTCATGTCTTCATTCCAGTGGGACTGGAACATGGACCTGAAGTGTTCACACCTGCAACACAGTTTGTTTCAGATGTTAACTTTTGAGTTATTTATATTATAGTTTCAGCTGACAGCCATGAGGAGAAATCCCCCGACCTGATTTTAAGAACTGCTTTGTGGACATAGATGTATTTGCCGTCGACGCAGAACTTCAGGTCAGCTGTCTCCGGGTTGTCAAACTCTTTCTTCAGAGACTGAGCCACGGTCAAGAAGTCATCACGCTCTGGAGGGAGAAAAACAGCCACACAGACACCCACACACACACACATATCCAGCCCTGGAGTTAGGACGATAAACAGCAGCAGTGATTTGAATTACTCGTATTTTTGCACAGTTTTCTTTGATGTGTTCCCAATAATCTCCTCGTCAGTTTCTTGCAAAGAAACACAGAATTTGGCGCTTTGTATGGATCAAACTGTGCACATTTAGTACACTGTGATTGTGAATAAAAATGATATGTGAAGCTGCCTTTGTTTCGGGGTGATGGCATTATGCGTGATGGCTCACCGTCATGTCTTAATGGGACATTTGAATAGAACATCTGCGGCCAGATGCATAAAACTGTCTGTAGATTCACTGTATGTACACACAGACAGAAATATACATCCACTAGCCACTTTATTAGGTACACCTTGCTAGCACCAGGTCGGACAAGGTTCTGAAGGCAAAACGGTTCAAACTTAATTTGTAGTTAACAGGATTAAGCATGTAAAACCACTGGTGCAGTCCTTTCATTACTACAACATCACTGGCCACACAAGCCCCGTGTCTTACCTACAGAAAGAAGCCTCCACATAACTGAGGGGGTGGCGAAGCATGCAAAGACATCGTCTGTGCAGGTGAAGTGCGTGAGGTGAGGCAGCACTATAGACTGGCCCCTGCACTGGCCCCACATGTACACTTGACCACTCTGAGTCTTTGCAGCTGACGTGTGTGTGGAGTGACAGGCAGCGATCTCCACGATCCTGTAAGAGAGGCCAGAGGAGAGAATCAGCAGTGTAAGAGACAGCGAGGAGGAGAGGGTTTATTATTGTCTGTGGTGATGGTCTCACTCACCTCTCTTTCTCAGTCATGATCTGGACTGGGCTCAACTGGTTGCTCTTGTTGCCGGTGCCCAGTTGTCCGTACGTGTTGGCACCCCAAGCGTACAGCAACCCCTCATCTGTTAGTGCCAGGGAGTGGCCGTAGCCTGAGACAATCTGGAGAGGAAGCAAAAAACTTCAGTTGCAAGATACATTTTAACATGAATCACAAACACACAACATGTTGTCGCATTTTTAAAGCACAATGAGCAAATTCTACTTTAAACGGAATAAATAGAACGAAGAATTGTCAGTTTTATTGGGGTGTTTCATGCAGAGATTTACATCAAAGGAAGGAGTGAACACAAAGTGAAGAAGGCAGATTTGTACTGACACGGTAAACTTGACACTGAGCTCATACGCAAACTGTTTGAGGTTCTAAAACTGGAAACGCTCTGTTGCAATGTAAACAAACAAAGCTGACCTACAAACAAACTCTGCCTCAGCTCTGATTACATACCAATGCACCCAACTTCTTACCCAACCCCGAAAACCTTTTGTCTCAGTCTGATTCTTCTGTGAGTGATGCAGTCAGAACAGTTCAGGTTATAAAGAATCTGTCTGTGCTCCTCTCACTTGTTTTAAGGTTTGTTGTTTCAGTCGTAAAAAGGTGGCATGGTGTATAAATCTTTGGTAAAATGCATGCTAAAATCTTTTTTCCAAACTTTAAATAGTGATGACTGAATAAGCCACAATCAAAGTTAAAGTGGCAGTCTCAAAGATGTTAGTCCTGGAGGATTTGGCGACACCTGCTGTTACGGGTGGAAACAGCAAATGCAGTTTTATCATTACAGGTCCCAGAGCTGTGAGAGCAGCATAACAAACTAGTGTCATTTTAAAGGT